CATACATACATACATACATACATACATACATACATACATACATACATACATACATACATGTATACATACACACACACTTTAATAAAAAGATAGAACTTTTTTTATCCCCCATACATGGCGCCCCCTAGATGGACGGTGCCCTTAGCCTTTGCCTAGAGTGCCTAAGCCACGACTGGCCCTGTGCATGTTGCTAACTCATCACTTATTATGTTTCTAAATGTTTTACTTTGTGAGCTGTTTTATCAGAGCTGTTTCTTTACCTACTGGAAGTCCAAGGATATGAGACGGAGACGGAAGGCCAAAGCGAAATTTCTTTGTGTCGTGACTGATTTCCTGCACAAGAACACAGGAAAAAAAGTAAAAATAAAAAATACCATCCCTGCTAGGTTGCTAAAGGTTCATTTATCTAAGGCTGGTACTGTTACTCAGACTCAAAGCAGCACATTTATAAACTTTAGGTCAGTTAAACTAGCTCAAACTGTTGCTCGCAGCACCCTATGGCAAGCTGTTGGTGTATTTATTCCATATCTTTCATGTCTTGAAACATTTTCCTTTAGTTTAAAGTGCACAACAATGCTAAACTAGTGTCATAAAATATGTAACTTATTTGTCACAGAGGACAAAAAATTATGCTTCCTATCAAGAATATTGAATTAATACATAAATGGCTTGCCATAGACAAGTTCATTTCAGATCCCCAAATGAATGAGCTTTGACAAACTATAGACTTTTCTTGTAAAATACTTTGAATTAAACTAAATTTGCTTTCAGAAAATGATTTAAAATGACACAGAAAAATCCAAAATGGAGGCTAAAATCTCTGATTTCAGTATTTAGAAACTCTTTCCCTCTGCAGTGCATTTATTTGATGAAGTGGGAAGAAAAGCAGCGACACTTGTGCTGATTTACGTGGGTTTAAAGTGACTGCGACCCGTTCTTTAAGTGTGATTTTCTCTGCAGCTCACCTGTTTGCTGATAAGAGGCAGTGGATATTTTGTCATGGGATCCTGGAGCGTTACGGGCCCTTTCTTCTTCTTTTCTCCTGAAACTTTTCCCATGATGGAGAACAGGACCGTCAACACAACCACAAACACGGCCAGAACCACCATGAGCACCTGCAGGATTAAATATCATTTTAATCAGGCCTGTGTGCTGAACAACTCACAATTTCAAACATTTAACTGGTTAATAACACAGCAAGCAAATAAAACATTATGCTTTAAAGGATTTTATGTTTATAAAATGAGTTAAATGCTAAAATATAAATTCTCACCAAGTCTAGATCCATAGCTTTTCCCCCCCCTTTCCTCTCAGAACTGGAGACCAGAGTCCACAGAGTTCAGGCAATAAAAAACCCTCCTCCATCTCTCCCCACACACCACACAGCCTCTAAAAGGGGCGTGGCTTCATGCTGGGGGAAAGGTGACAGGTCCAGCACCAATAACAGGACGAGTCTGATCATGATATTTGGCACAGAGGTGGTGCTCAGGCAGGGAGAAGAGAGATCACACCACTGATGGTGGGGAGGACAGGGGGGGCTGCTGTGGCCCTCAGAGAAAGAAAATCAGGTGAAGGAGGGAAATTTAAAATCACACCCATGGTCTTTATGCTCTGACCTCCTGTCCACATAAGGTCATGGATCTTCTCAGAGCCGAGGGTCCAACTGATGCAAAGCTGCATCTGTGAGATTTACTCAGGAAAATTATTTATAGTATTTTCTTAATCAGACCGTGTAATTGTTGTTTCTGCCAGCAGAGGGCGCTCTAATACATCAATCTGTTTCATGTTTTATATTTGACTTCAGCATCAAAAGTTTTATTTAAATGCAAACTTTTTAAACTTGTTTAGTAAAAAAAATATTTTCGCCTAATGACAAATAAATCTCAACACGTTAGAAGTTTGTAATATTCTCTTCCAGGGATGTAGCAGAGGTAAAAACAACATGGAGGTCTCCAGACACCGGGTGTGGTGGGAGTTGACCCTGCAGACACATAATGAGCTGACAAAATAAAAACAAGAGCAGAGAGTTCAGGGAAAACTGACGGTTTGATAATGAACACACGAAGAAACAAAAACATTAGAAACATTCAGAAAAAAAAGTTTTATTTTTTTATTTTTGAAAAATTAAAAGTGGAATAAAATAAACACAATATTAAGTGGGAATCTTTTAAACGTTTGGTGTTAATATTTAAAATGTTGAATCATTGTTTCTTGTTGTCAAACCCAGATGTTCGTACTGTTTAGTAAAAATGAAGTTTGTCTTGTTCTGTTAACTGCAACTCAGCTGTTACCTCAGTGAAAAATGTTTCGGAGCTGTTAGAAACGCTGACTCAGCTCACATCGTCTCTGCAGAAATGCTGCAACGCTTTGCTCAAGGGCTCCTCGGCATCAGCAGCAGGACTGAGAGTAACCACAATGACCTCAAACATCAACCTCCTGACACGGAAACAAGCACATTTCTGGGTTCGATCACATCTACGTCTCTGTGCAGGTCTGCAGAAATAAACATAATAATATTTAGCTTCACTGCACCCCTCAAGATAACCTTTATGTTTGATTTAATTTGTAAAAAGTAGTGGTTTCAGATTAAAAGCCTAAAAGAGCAGAGAAAGAACAGATTTTTATTCTAAAGCAACCATCCCTCTGGTTGGAAGTGTTTGTATTAAATGTTGTTTCCTGCCTGGAGAGAAGCTCCCCTGACGACACGAGGCCTAATTACAAAACCTCGCCCTGCTCTGGAGAGACTTCATAAAGTCAAACTAAATGACCTCAGTGTGGAGAAATAATAATAAAGAGAAATAAAATAGAAAAGGAACATTTCTAAGGTACACTGTTGGGGGTGGAGGGTTCACACCAGGGCCGCCCGTTGTCACTGATTCTGTTCATAACTTACATGGACAGAATTTCTCGGTGCAGCCAGGGGGTGGAGGGAGTCTGGTGTTGTACGAAATCCAGTTCCACTGTGAAAATCTGTTCCTCCTACTGGTTAACCTTAGAGAGAATCACTGGTCCAGTCCTCCCAACACAGGGGAACAGATTTTCACAGGGGAACTGAATCTCGTGCAACACCGGTTCAGTAGCCTCAGGACAGGGGTGTCCAATAAAAATAAAAATAACCCAATTAAGTCAATTCTGATCAATAAAATCAGGTTTTAGGTCACTCTTTTTGTTGAAAATGCTTACTGTGTTCAGATGAATTTAATAAATTAATTTAAAGCGGATTGGAGACAGCTTCTGACGTCACTAGATAGATGTGGAAAAAAGCTAAGAGCTTGGTTATTTAAAGACAAATAATTGGTTTTGTTGCCAATATTTTTTATTATAAGATTTTATTTTGTCTGTGATAAATTTGCCCTAATAATAAATAGAAAGTCTCCATCTACAAATATTTAAGCTCAGAGCTCGATCATAAGGTTCTGAAAGGTTTTTAACAAAAAATAAAAAAGTTTTCCAACCATATCTGACAATCACAAACAGAAAAATCAGTTTATTGGTTAAAAGGATCAAAGAAAACTGACCAGGCGCAGGTGGGAACCATACGAGGCTTGGGTTCCTCCGACCACCCTCAAAGACCGGACCTTTGGGTTCCACACAGGAGGGGTTCTACATTTCTGATCTGACAAGAAAAGACAAAAACTATCCTTAAGAGCTCCTGAGATAATCTGAAACCTTTCAGCTCACCTGTCTGAGCAGTAGAGTCCACCCAGAAACTCAGAGCAGAACAAGTGTGGTCCAGGACCTCATCCCTGATGGGCCCCAAACAGCTTCTAAAACACAACAGATTTAACTTAGATCTGGTTCCTGCCTCTGGTAAAATACTTACTACACATAGAAAAACTAAACTAAACAAAAACTGATCTGGAATTAAAATAATAACATTTGTAAAAACATTAACGCTAAAAAGGAAAAACCAGATAAATCAACCTGAGCACGTGAAGTTACGCCTCGATGCTTGTCCTTCAAAACAGAAAAAGTCTCAGAAGAAGAGGAGGAGGAAACAGATAAGAAGCTGAAACACTGCAGGGATCTTTTACTCCACCCTGTTCTATTTATAAAATAATTAAAAGTAATGTTTGATTTACAAAACGTTTTCTTTAGAAGTCTCCAAATCTTAAACCAGTTAAACACAGAGGATTTCATTTCAAACAATCCAAAGTACATATAGTTTTTAAATGATTCTTTTATTTCTGTTCAATTGATTTGATTTGATTTATTTATTTAACAGGAAAAGATTATTAAAAATCAAGCCTGACTCAGCATAATTGCTGTTTTACAGCAGGTTCCTGTTCTGCAGCACATAAAACACTCAGAATTACAGCATCACAATCACATCATTATACACCATAGACACAAAGACAAACAAGCATACCAAATTTCAAGAAGGCAGCGTTTGCAAAATAGGACGTCTAAATATGAGCACAACAATAAGTGTCCAGCAGATGGCAGACAAGATTCTTCTTAAAGGGCTGTAGTTTTGAAATGGACTTTATGTTTTGAGGAATGTCATTCCATGCTTTAGTATAAACATAGAAGAAAGACCTCTGGCCGTAACAGTTTTTAAAAGTTGGTAATATCAGTTGTCCTTTTGTAACAGATCTAGTTGAATGACCACTTCCAGAATTTGATTTGGGCAACAATGCACAGAGAGTTCCATAAATAGCACATTGGAAGATCTGAAAATATAAATTAATACCACTATACAAAACATAATTCTGAAAAGTCAAGGCATCAGACAATGAAAGAACTGTACAGTGATGAGTCCAACCAGGAAGTTTTTTATGAATTTTGTAGGCCCTGTTGTAGAGCCTAACTATGGGTTCTAAGATTTCATTTGTTGTAAGAGACCAAACAGGTAAACAGTACGACATGGTTGAGAGTATAATGGCATGAAGATAGATATTTGAAACAGAAGATGTCAGATTGGATCTAATTTTTGAATAAACGTATAAATTCTGTTTCAACTTAGTGGTTCAGACTTGTACATGATCACGATAAGTCAAATGAGAATCCAAAGTAATTCCAAGATATTTGTAGGTAGTGACAATATCAAGGGGTTTGTTTAGAAAAGTGAGTTGATTTGTTATATTGAAATGTCTYCTGGGTGAGGAAAAATACATGCACACAGTTTTTTAACATTAATTGACAAAAGATTATCTTGAAGCCAACCATGAAATGTCTGAAGATCTGCTTGTAACTGACTATTAATAGATTCAATATTGAAATCAGACAAAAAAAGAACAGTATCATCAGCATACATTAAAATATTTGAATACTTCAATATTTTTGGAAGGTCATTTATGTATAATAGGAAAAGCAATGGGCCCAGTATGCTACCCTGCGGAACTCCCACGGAACAGGGCAGAGACCCGGACACAGAGCTTCCATGTTTCACAACCTGACACCTATCAGCCAAATAAGAGGAAAAYATTTGTATTGCAGATGATGAAAGTTGAAAAGAAATCAACTTTTGTAAGAGAGTATAATGATCAACTGTGTCAAACGCTTTACGAAAATCAATATATACAGCACCAGTTACTTGACCTTTGTTCAAAGCAGCACGTATTTGTTCAGTGAATAAAATTAATGCAGACATGGTTGACCTTGACGTGCGAAAACCATGTTGGCTATTGCTTAGCATATTATTATTATAACCTAAAACGTTCTGGTAGCTTTTATTAGGTATTTAATAAAATAAAGACTTTAAATTCTTTGTTTTTCTTCTGGTCTTCTTGAATAAAACTGTTCAGTCCAAATGACATTCTAGTCATGAGTTTTTTTGTCTGAAAACTAACATGTTTTTACTTCAATATTTGTTCAAGTAATCCAAATTTTCAGCAAAATCAACAAGTAGAATGAAGTGTTTCCAAACTTTGTCTGCCAAAAATCTAAAATCTGTCTGCTCTGCTGTAAGAACATTTATGTAAGATATTTAAAAGTGCATGAAGCTCAGCACTCTGAGCTCATTGATTCCAGAAACTCTTGAATGATTCATGTGAAACAGATTTCTTACATCTCATTAGAGCAGAAAACCCCAATGCTTCCACAGAGTCAAAACCCTCCCTCAGAGTTTTGTTTTTACAAACGGGTTTCCTCTGCCTCTGTGTTCTCACGATAAGCCCTCTAATCGCCCCGGTTCCTGTTTACACAGACCCCCCCACCCCGGGCCTAGCTGTCTCATCCTGGATGGGACTCGCAGCTCTAAGACTGGTTGCTGAGACACAGTTGTCAGGGAGATGTTGCCAAGCTGAGAAGAAGCAACAACAGCTGAATGTTTTCTGTGGAATACGGGGAGATGAGGAGATGGATCTCTGCCTGCTGAGCTCAGTTCAGTTTGTGGAGAAGGAAAAACTAAGTTACCTCTGGAGACACAACACCCTTCTTAAGTCTGGGTCGAATCGTACCCTGCCTCAATGCTTGGTTGATTGTCTGAGACCCATGTCGAATTTTACCCTGCCTAAGTTTTTGGTTGATCTTCTTAGACGGGGTCGAAGCGTACCCTGCCTAAATGTTTGGTTGATCTTCTGAGACCCCTGCCAAATTGTACCCTGCCACATGATCGGTTGATCTTCTGAGACCCAGGTTGAGGTGTACCCTGCCTCAGTGTTTGGTTGATCTTCTGAGACCCCCTGTCGAATTGTACCCTGCCTAAGTTTTGGGATGATCTTCTGAGACCAGGGTTGAGGCATACCCTGCCTCAGTGTTTGGTTGCTCATCTGAGACCCATGGGTGGAAGCATACCATGCCTATTAACTGGTCAATCTTCTAAAACCCGGGTCGAATCGTACCCTACCTCAGTGTTTGGTTGCTCGTCTGAGACCTGGGTCGAAGCGTACCGTGCCTTATTGTTTGGCCGATCTTCTGATACCCGGGTCAAAGTGTACCCTGCCTCAGTGTTTGGTTGACCTTCTGAAACTCAGGTCAAAGCATACCCTGCTTCAGTTTTTGGTTGATCATCTGGGACCCAGGTCAAAACCATACCCTGCCTCAGTGTTTGGTTGATCCTCTGGGACCAGAGTCGAAACGTACCCTGCCTCAGTGTTTGGTTGATCTTCTGAGATCCGGGTCGAATGGTACCCTGCCTCAGTGTTCGGTTGATCTTCTGAGACCCGGGTCGAATGGTACCCTGCCTCAGTGTTCGGTTGATCTTCTGAGACCCAGGTTGAATCGTAGCTGCCTCAGTGTTTGGTTGATCGTCTGAGACCCGGGTCAAAATGTACCCTTCCTCCGTGTTTGGTAGATCTTCTCACAAATATATCTATGGCTACGAAAACTCACATCAGCATCACTTGATTGTTGTTTATTCACATATAAAGATCTCGTTTCTACAGTTAAACCCACATAGTGAATCAGGGCACGTCAAAGGTGACGACAGCAGGTCGGTGAGGATGCTGCTCACTGGAAATCCTCTGGAAAATGAAAATTGAGCCGTTTAAAGTGAGAGCAGCTCGATCCTTTCTAATCCTGAAGGGCAGCTTTAAATCTTAATGCAGGCGTTCAATAAAATGCCTGCAGATAGTTGGATGTGTTCTGCACCACAGGAAACAGGTCAGCTGGACCGACGAGGGCCAATGGTTCATTTGTTCCGTCGGGTCTCAGATGGCGGCAAAGCTTTAACTCAATAAAACAAACAGAAATGAAATCTGACACTGAGGCCGATTCAAACAAAGCTTAACTCAGTTAATAAAAAATGGTTTGATGTACTTTTACTTTAACCGTTTTAGAAATAAACTTGTGACAAAAAAAATTCACATATTTTTGTTTTCTGAGTAATGAATAATTTTCATCCGTTAGAGCTCTAATCTGAAAAAACAAAACTTGATTTGATCTCAAGTTGCCAGAAACTTTCAGAAATACAAAATGTTCCGTGAAACAAAAGTATAACATTTGAGTTTGTAACAATAAAAAGCTGAAGACCTTGAAACGGCCCAGCTTCAGTTGTTTCTGGACCATCCACTGATTTATGACTTTATGTTTCTTACACCAATACGATCAAATTATTTGAGTTTTACCAGATAAAAGCATTTATTAATAATTTCACATAATAAAACCCAAACTCTGAATTTTCTGCTTTAACTTTGTGATCAACACATAAATAATTTCCCTCAGGGACAAAGGGTCCATTCAATCATTTCCTGTTTCATCTTTTTTCTGCCGGAACAGTTCATTTTCTTATCAGCTACCAGTTTGGAGGGATGTTTTCCTCACATTAGCACACACACACACACATATGACATCATCCTACTGCAGCACACGCAAACACACAAACATCCTTCTTGGGGTTAAAAGGTCGTGTGGTTAAAAACAGGAGCAACTTAAAGCTGATGACTCGTTCTGTTAGCCTGTACGTGTCTCAGAGCAGGTGAAGGTGGGAGGGGTTAAATAATGTTTGAGTCGAACATTTTTGGGAAACAGTATTTCAAAGTAAAATGTTTTAAAACAGCCACAATCAGATTTACGAGAGAAAAACAAATCTTTTCTCGTTCAGATTAATATCTCAACATATAAATATTATTTTATTGTTTTAAAGTTAGAGGAAGACAGCAGAGATGTAAAAAAAGCACTTTTACGCAAATACAAAAGAACTGTTAATGAAATCGGCCTCTAAAATTCACAAACGAACGAGTGCATTTCATTTTTTCCCCATCAGCTGGTGCAGGAAGGTTTCTGTAAACTAGCCACGCAGCAACAACAGCAGAAAAATACATCTGTTTTTATTACCAAGTCTACTTGAACAGATCTGTGCACAAAAGAATTAGAAAACAGATCCAATTGCTTGTTTTCACATTACTTTAAACAAGAGTTCAGGCACATTTCAGGGCTTAGCACAAAATATTCTTTACAGACGACAGAGCGGACAAGGAACATTTAAAGTTAAGACACTTTGAAAAGATGCAAATATTAATAAGCATGAACATTCAGCTTGTACAGAGCTCACAGTGGGTTAAATTGTGGAAGACAGACACTGCCATAATTAGAAATAAAAGCAGAAATATATAAAATGACCAATAAATCAATAAATACACTTAAAATGCACCAATTAAATTAAGGAAAACTTTAGTTCATGTTCTATAATTTAATTGACCATATTTATTTTTCCACCTTAGTTCCAATAAATTATATATTTCAGAACATAACTTAAATTTTACTGTTTTTAAAAATATATTTTTTGTGTTTTTCCTTTTACTTGTACAGGCATTTGTTTCTTCATGCTTATATTTACAAGTCTTTATTTCCATGTGCCTCATTATGCAAAAAAGGTAGGCGGAGCTTCATGGATCAGCTCCTCTCCTATTGGTCAACAGACAGGAAGTAGCAGGATCCATGCGCGGATCTACTGTGCATACTTGTGATGCTCATTTTAGCTTAAAATTTAAAGTTTAGTTTAAAACAAAGGCAAGGAGGAAATCGTGTCTTTGTTTTCATTTAAACTTTAAGCTTTGGATCCTGCTCCTTCCTGCCTGTTGACCAATGGGAGAAGAGCTGCCCCAAGAAGCCACTCCCACCTTATTTACATAATGAGGCAAAAAAGCATAGGGTAAAGTAAAAACAGGAGACAGAGAAATGTAAAAAAAAAAAAAAAAAGACAAATGCATGTACAAGTAAAAGGAAAAAAAACATGTTTTTAAACAATAAAATTCAAATTATGTGGTAAAATATATAATTTATTGGAACTACGCTGGAAAAATAAACAAGGTCAATTAAATTATAAAACAAGAGGTAAAGTTCTCCTTTTTTAATTGGTGCATTTTACATGTATTTATTGTTCTATTTATATATATCTCTGCTTTTATTTCTAATTATGACAGTTTTGGTCCTCCATATTAAATAAGAGAACAGAAAAGAAAAAGTGCAGCTGCTTACTCCAACATGGGACTTATAAACACCACCTGGAGACATCAAAAATACAAATTTTGTTGATTTCTTCCTTTCCTTTATTTTTTACCCGTCTTCATAATGTTGCAACGACTCCTTTAACAATCTGCAACAAGTTTGAAAAATAATGTCAAGAGGCAACATCTTTAAATAAAGGACAAAAAAAACAAGAAAAAAAAACAGAAAAAAGCAGGTCCTGGTTTTTTCTTGTTACAGAAGATCTGATAATGTAACAGACTGAAGCTGCACAAACAGAAACTACAGGAGCTAAACTTTCACAAAGACAATAAGTGCTGCTTGAAAGGTTGTGTTGTGAGACAAAAAGGCATGACTTTGTGTTTTATTCTGAAGCACCCAGAGGAAAAAAACGAGCTAAAAGTGACTCATTCTCTGCTTTCAACCAAGAATTATTTTGGCAAAAAAGGGTAAAAAGAAAATGCTTCAAATTAAGACAAATGGAAAAAGCTTCGAGACTTTGAGGACAGATGGGAAAGTGGTTACTGCAGTCTGAGGATACAGGAGCGTGGAGTCGTTAAGTTTACATCATCCCTGCAGGAGGTGGAGCATGACTCAGCACAAATGCCAGCCTCTTAAATGCTTTTGGCGGTGGGTTTAAACAACGAGCTGAATGTCGTCCTGTCCCTGAACAAATCTGAAAACATTTGAAGCTTTTTGTTCGGTGAAAACTCTTAGTAAATATTGATTGGAGTGAAACCCAAAAGGAGAGCTCGTTTCTCCCAAAAAAAGAAAAAAAAAAAGGACATTTGGAGCAGAGCGTCATCCAATGCATAGCTTTCAAGAAGTGAGCAGAAGAAAATCTGGCACCAGAGGAACTCAAACATTCTGTTTGTGATTAGCCTGAGCTGCTGGTTTGTGTTTCTGTCAGAGAAGTTCTGCTTATAGGAAGTGACAGAGATCAGGAAAGAGATGTTCGTGGTCTTGGACCGCTGCAGACTCCAATCTCGTCCCGCGGCTCAATTTTGTTTTTGAGTCCTGAAGCTTCGGGCGCAGACACCTCTCATCGCCCGCAGCTGGTGTTCTCTTCATTCCTTCATCTCTCCGCCCAGCGTCCTCGCCTCACTATCTCATGGTGGAGGAAGCTCTGAAGTACGAAAGGAATTTGAAACAGAGGCTGACCACAAAGTACCAGATGTTTCGAGCCATCTGGGACCGGGCTATAAAGATGCGCCAAATGAGCACCATCAGGATGGTGTTGAAGGTGTAGCGGATGTTCCTCAGCCTGCAGGAACAAAAACATTTCTTTAACTTCATGAGGAATTTCTCATTTTTAATCTACAATCTTTTGATCATTTGTAGAGATTCTAGGATTCAAAGGTTATTTAATTTAATCTGAAAGGTTTTCTTGACTCATCAGATACAGCAACTTCAGTAAAGCAATAAAACTCTAAATTATATGCAATGACCTATATGGAGGACCAGAACTGCCATAATAAGAAATAAAAGCAGAAATATATAAATGCACCAATAAATAAATAATTACACTTAAAATGCATCATTTAAATTAAAAAAGGAGAACTTTATCTCATATTTTATAATTTACTTGACATCATGTTTATTTTTCCAGCTTAGTTCCAATAAAGTATATATTTTAGCACATAAATTACATTTCACCGTTTTTAAAAATACTATTTTTTGTTTTTCATTTTACTTGTACACGTATTTGTCTCTCATAAAATAATATATTTAATTATTTGTATATTTTTCCCACATGTCTTTATTTACATGTGTTGCTTTTACATTTCTCTGTCTTATTTTTACTTTACCATAWGCATTTCGACCTGATAATGTAAATAAGGTGGGCAGAGCTTCTTGTGTTGGCTCCTCTCCTATTGGTCAACAGACAGAAAGGAGCAGGATCCATGTGCAGATCTACTGTGCTGCTGCCTCAGTTTAGTTAAAGTTTAAAGTTTGTTTTTATCTAAACTTTATGAAATGTAAAAGCAACATACAAAAATAAAATGACTTGCGTGAAAAATAATTTCAGAGACACAAATTCATGTACAAGTAAAATAATATATATATA